TCTTCACACTCAGTCCTGGCCTGATGATGGGGCCAAAATAATTATCTGGGATGAGCCTTCTTAGAGGAGGAGGTGACACCACCAAAGCATACGCGAAAAACAAGCAATCAAAAACACCCCAAAGCTCAGTGGTTTGGTTAGGCAGCTTCTAGGTTAGGAGCGTATCTTATACCTGCTCAGCTAAGTGAAACGTGTGGCTGACGAAAGCTGGTTGAATACATAACTAGATGAAATGAAAGCTGGTATTTTTCAATAAATGCTTCTCATTTTCTAGTTGCCTTTAAAACTGGAATTCCCAGAAGACTGTCAGCAAGCTAAAATTTGTAGCTACAAACCTGTGAACTCCGTACTGCAAGGCTTTAACCCGTTCCTGCTCCTGCAGGCATCCACCGGTGCCTGGCGGTTCCTGGCAGGGCTGTGGTGCCGCCTCCGGACGAGCCCTGCCCCTGCGGGCACAGCTGGGCAAAGCAGGGTTTACACTGAAACAAGCAGCCCCAGCACTGACAGATCCGCACGGCTGCTGGAGTTCGGGAGCAGTAGAACATTCTCCCTCTCATTAAAGTGTTACTTTTAAAGAGATCTCACGAAAAAAGCTTAAAAGCAAAAATATAAACCAATTCAAAGCCCATAACTGCAATACCTCCCTCTGTACCTCCCATTTCGTTTCTTTGATATTGCTCTCAAGAAGTCCGTCACACACATTTCCTTGGGATTTCAAGGGGATATTATTATCATTTTTTCTTAAAAGCAACATTTTCAGTGTTTCATCTAGGCCTTGGGACACATTAAAGTCTCTTTTCATTATCAGAGGCTTGCTGTAGATATAAATACACCTGACCTTAGCTTAGTCAATACACTGTTTTTCCTTCTTTATTTGGAGATGTTTATGCATAAATATGAACAACACACATTTGTGTCACCTCAGCCATAAGCTGCACTTTTCCCTGGGGTGGTATCGACACCCTCAGCACCGACAGACACAGCAGCTCTAGCTTCCTACCTGGCACGATATAGATCAATATCTAAATACACATTTCTCATGAGTGGCAATGACTTTTAATTTGGAAGAAAATGCCAGTTCAATCAGGCCACAAATTTTAACCTCCTTTTTCATTCTAAATCTCCTTGTTCGTGCGTTTGGCTCCAGAATTTAAGTGGAAACCACAACAAAAACAAGAACAGGAAGAAACACCCAATAGTATACCATAACATCAGAACATAAAGCTTGATCCAGGCTTGATTTAAGTGTTACAAACATCAGAAAACAGGCAGATTTACCTGTCAATTACAGTTATTCCTTCAATCCACTCATGAACAAAAGAGCTGAATCCAGCACTAGCAAACCTGGCTTCACTGAATGAGGCCAGGTGCCTTGGTTTCACATTTGAACCTTTCAAACTGCCCACAGACACGCTGCAGAACCCAGCACATCTTGGATGATTTTCCAGTGCTGGTTAAATCTACCTCTAAAACATCTTAACTAAGTTACTTTCCCCAAAGTAGGTATGTATCTCAGACTTCTGCTTAGGTGACACTGTGGCATTTCCTTCCAATACTGAATGCAAAACTATTGCATTTGAAAGAAATAGTATTTTTCCTCTCAGTGATGCTCATTGCCCATTATGGAACATTCTGTCCTCTCTGCCGTCTTCTCTGCTCTCTGCAGGTCCTCTCCAAAACCCTCTCCTGCATCCCATTTGAATATTCTATTAAGGTGATCAAAATGGTCTTTGGTTTCTTATGACAGGCACAGAAAATTGTTTTCCACCAGCAAGGTTCAAAACCTTTCACAGAGCTGATTATTGTCAGCACTCCAATTGTGAGCCCAAGTCAGCCAAACCAACGCTACTTTTAAAACACGTCTTACATTCTTCTTTTTTCACTTTTTATATTTAAAATTTTAGATTATGTTCTTGAAGTTTTTTTTAACTTCTATCTTCAAAATTAAGAACAAACCTAAATAGAGAGAGAGGAGAGAAGGGGAAAAGATTCCCATAGTAATCCAGGAGCTGGTCTATAAGGAGAAACAGGGACACACTTCATAATGGTTATATCCCTGTAAGAAATGCAAATAATCCACAGGCAGGGCAGAGGACTCAGAAGAAAGCCAGTTACTTGCCCTTGGGCTCAGGGCTGCTTCTAGGCTAGTTAATCTCCAATATTCTTTGGAATCTCTCAGCGTGCATTGGCATGCAGGAAACGCAGTGTGCAAGGGCAGCAAGCTGAGCGAGGCAACCCCAAAGCACCCACAGCAGCAGAGGTAACTCACTCTCCTACCATACCACCCCTCTGACCACTTTATAGCTCTTTAACAAGGAGAATTTATAGTCCTAAATTGCACAGATGTTACTGATACA